GGGGGGGGGGGGGGGGGAGACGTCGCGAGAAGGAGCATGTTCAGATTTTCTGTTAAGATCTGCTGGCAAACTCCATATCTGATCCCAACCGAGTCTGCAAGCTCATGGATTGTTGGACGACGGTCTTCGTGGATGAGTTTTCGAATTTTTTCAACTGCAACGAGCAGTAGGAAATTTTCGTCAACAATAGAGGCCGTGTTTTTTCTATGTGGTCCGTGCCGAGAGTATATAAGAAACAGTGAAGATTGTTCGAAAGGTACCCCCGTGTGGAGGCGGGGTCGAATACCTCCCCTGCGAGTCGTAAGAGGCGACGAAAAGGGAAGTTTCAAATCTGAGACAGTAAAAAATATGGTCGCGAGTCCCAATGGCCTCGGACCCGAGGAAGACCGCGCTGACAAGGACCAGCAGCATATGCAAAAGACAGACCCGTCCTCTCGTTAGAGAGGGCGCCCCACAAAAATAAGACCGTAACTGTCAAACAGTAATAATTACTGGGGCTCCACACTAAGACTTACTTACTGACTGACCGTCAGTCGCAATGTAACGTTGATTTTGACTTTGTTGGAAAGGTTCCGTTCTATTTTGACTATAGACTGCTGTAATAGGAGGAGCTACTAATGATAGGGCACGGTCTGCTGTACTGAGCCTGGACTGACAGAGGCCCTGTATATGTTATATATCCATACATTTAATAACACATAAAATGTAAACTGCACATACTGAAAACAAACTTATTACTGCTGACTGTGACTCTGGCAAACGGCAGACCCGTCCTCTCGTCAGAGAGGGTGCCCTACATCAACAAACCTGCAGCTGTCTGACAGTAGTAGAGATCTGGTCTTAAGCCCCAGATGGGTGCTTTATTCCAAGACAGAATGACCGACTGACCGTCGGTCGTAATATAACTTTCACTTTAATCGCTTAGTGGGGGGGGGGAGTCCAACTGGATCCACTCGGCACGGCGGCCACTGATTGGCCTATTGTAGCCTGGCCCGGGTGATTATGATGATGGAGAATTTTGTGGAATGAAGAGTGGCAGGGGAAACCGAAGTACGCGGAGAAAACCCGCCCCAGCGCCACTTTGTCCACCACAAATCCCACTTGACCAGACCCGTGTTCGAACCCGGGCCACCGTGGTGGGAAGCCAGCTAATATAACTTGAATGTTGACTTTGTTCGAAAGGATTCGCCAGGAAGGCGTCGTTGAAGGCAGTTCAAAAGATGATTTATAGTACCTTAAAATAAGCCACGATGATCCATACCATTCGACACTGTGTAGCCTGAGCTACATGAAATAAGTAACTATAGACCCTCCTTGAGCCACACCGTGTGTCGTTTCCCTCGGAGTAGAACACGTTTTCTAGTCTGCCTGTACACTGGGATCCCAGTCCCCGCCGCTACAAGCGGGGACGCCGTGTAAACACGGCGCTGACAACTTTCCAAATTCTGTTTGTACTTGTTCCTTGTCGCCCCGCCCCTTCCTCCTGTCCCAGTTGCTTGAGAGGCTTACACGCTGCCTTTGTGCTGCTCCAGCAGGTACCATTGCTTGGCTTATGAATATAGATGTCTCTGTGTGTCAGCAGGAGCATTGCAGCACCTCTACCCGTTGCTTTTCCCGGCGTACGTTTATGTACCTTCTCTTTGATATTTTAATTTTCTTTATTTAATAAATACTAACAAAATTTTGATTGATGATTGTGCTCTTAGATAATTCGTGTCATGTGTATCAGTGTTGCCGACGTTTCGGTGACACCCGCTCGTTGGCCTTCACCGGGCGCCACCTTCCATCCTTCCCTACATTATCGCTTATGCACCACACTCGCTTAGACTCTGATGATGGAGGCAGCATGTGCCTCCGAAACGTCGGAAACCCTGCCCATATGTACACAGTACAGAATTGACATAAACAGCGAACAACCTCGAAAGTTTAGAATCAACATTTAGACCGTGAATATTGTCTTGTGGGTTGTGACACCGTCTAGTCTGATAGAAGTTTACCAGTGCTTCGGAGAAACGTTCTGCCTCCGTATTCGTGGTTGAAAACTGTCCGGTAAGCTTCTACCAGACTTCATGGCGTCACATCCCTGTGAGAACCTCAGATGCAGTTTCCTCAAGGTCACACCTGGCCCATGACTACGAACTTGTAAGAGGGACATCTGCTAAAATTAATTAACGTCGCAGATGTTTCCATGTTTGTAACATGTTTT